CATAAGTATGTGTTTGTGTGTGTGTGTGTCTGTGAGTGCATAAGTATGTGTTTGTGTATGTGTGTCTGTGAGTGCATAAGTGTATGTGTGTGTTACCTCTGCATGTTTCTTCTGTAACTCTCGACACGTCTCGTTACACACGACCAAGTCGCTCTCTGATCTCGCACGAGAACAGGGGAATTCCTGAACACACACACAAACACTGTTTACACAGTGACAGTGATGAGTGCTTATTAAAGCCATGTGATGACCTCTTCATCATCTGACCACAAACATTAGATCTGCTGTGAAGCCGCAGTCCATCAGCGTTTGGTCACATGATCTTCCGTGTGTTTGTACCTTTCTGATCCTCTTGCAGGGGCACTTGAGCTTGACTCGCTGACCGCAGCTCTGATCGCAGTCGCCGGCGTGACACAGCAGCTTACAGCGGTGCCCGCATCCCAGCTGCACACACACATTCACAACAAACAATCAGCACAGAGCAGCCGCATCCCAGCATGCAACACTCTCCGCTTCTCACAGAACAAACCCTACAGCACCTGTTTGGGACACTGATTCTGACAGGAGCTCAGCAGCTGTTTGCCCTGATCATCCGCAGACGTGAACTTCCTACAAAACACACACACACACACACACACACACACACTCGTCACTGAGCGTTTGAGATCCGGCCGGAGAGCAGCAGGAGAGTCACTCACACACACTCGATGTAGAGGCTGGAGATCCTGCAGTGGCAGCGCAGACGGACCATCAGCCCACAGGGAGGACAGCAGCCGCGGTGACAGGCCAGAACACACGGGTGAGTACAGCCCACGGGACGCGGCTTCAGACAGCCCTCCTCACACTGCTCACACTGCACACACACACACCTAATGGTTAGAGGGTCGGACTTGTGACCCAAAGGTCGCGGGTTCGAGTCTCAGGTCCGGCAGGGATTGTCGGTGGGGGGAGTGAATGAGCAGCGCTCTCTTCCACCCTCAATACCACTACTGAGGAGAGACCCTTGAGCAAGAACAGATCCCCCAGTGCTCCGGGTGTGTGTGTGTGTGTGTGTGCACTACTGTGTGTGTGCACTTGGATGGGTTAAATGCAGGACACACACACAGAAAACAAACAGAAAGCCAGTCACTGTGAGGACAGAGCTCGTGGCAACAGGGTCAAAGGGTCATGTGACCTACCTTAGTTTTGTCTGAGTTTGGCACAGCGGTCACACGATGGCACTCCAAACTGCAGCTATGATTCCCACACGCTAAAGTCCGTCCACATGACCGGCCGCAGGAGAACGGCCCACGAGTATGACACGGAACCGGCCTCACCTTCAACACACACACACAGAGAGAGAGACACACACACATGCATACACACACACACACACACACACACACACACACACACACAAACAAAGACAATGATTCAGAGTCTTTATATTTCACTATAACCATATATGTATGCTATAACTAATGTATATAACTAATACGAGACTGAATGTTATAGATCTAATAGATAAATAGATCTAAATGTTTCTCAAGCCTACTGACGGACAGAAATAAATGACAAGCAAATGGACAACAACAATACAAAAAAATAAAATGCAAAATGAAACGCTGCAGGAATGACATATACAGTGATTGTTCCTGAAGCGATGGAGTCCAGAGCAGTGAGCGAGTTTCTCTGTCTTGTCTTGTTTGATGAACATTAATGACACGGACATTAGCAGATTATTAGGCTGCTGTCTCTTTAAGACCTGATAAAGATCCAGTACACTGACACACAACTGATTTCTTTCTCAACTCTTGAAGTCACAGTGAGTGAGTGCTAACAAACACAAGTCATCACCTCCAGCCTGACTTTCAGTTCTAGAAGCGTTTGACCTTCGCTTTAATCTGAAGAATCCAAACCTCAGCTTATCAGCTGCAGTGTGAAATGAACCAGACACGCTGGTGTGTGTGTGTGTGTGTGTTCACCTCATGTTCTCCCAGACAGGCTCTGTAGAGAAAAACAATACACAATGCTGTCATTTACAGCAGCAGGACACACAATGACACAATCTGTTTTAGTTGGACTCACTTTAAAGACACACACACAGAGTTACTTTAAACCATCTCACATACACTCACACACTTTTGGCCACAACTGACCGGAGTGTGTTTGCCATATGTGCAGAAAATCCCTACAACACAAACAACAAACACTGCCAAAAACATGCTTCCCCAGCGTGCCTACAAATACACAGCATTGTGTGTGTGTGTGTG